TTCGTCAACATCGTCGATATTCATTACAAATGCATCAATTTTACTGCAAAACACTTCATCGAAAATTGTGCGAAATCTTTACGAAAATTGCCATTTAATAGACAATAGATAAATTGCACGCTGTCTCCTTCGCAGCTCCATTCCCACACATCATTTTTATCAATGAAAGTGAACACACGCTCGAACACGCTCGCGCACACAGCTCCTTGCTAAAATGCCACTTGAGTCTTGCCATTAATTTTCAAAACACACATACACACAACAACGGACAAAGTTCAGCGATAAAACGCTTTGAGCGAAAATATTTTCGTTGTGTTCAATTTTGGTTGGTGTTTTGTTGGGGAGAGAAAGATAGAGAGAAAGATAGAGAGAGAGAGAGAGAGAGAGAGAGAGAGAGAGAGAGAGAGAAAGAGAAAGAGAAAGAGAAGGAGAGTTGATATGAAATTCAGTAATCGTGCAGTAGATACTCTCAGATAATTTATATGCAAACTTTTTCCAGTGTAAGCGCGTGCGGCAGCGTCGGCTGTTGATGCTGCTGCTTCTGATGAACACACTGCTAAACAAACATCATTTTGCCCGGTATCACGTTGCTTGGCCAATGTTCATCGCAATGAATAATTCCTCGTTAATAATCTGTTTAATGGAACTTTTTAATCTTGCATACCGGACTCAATAGCATAATCGTTCTGTTTTGAATCGTCACAAAATCACGTAGAGCTTCTAGATTAATCTGGTATGACTGCAAAGACAGTGGACGAATTTGAGTTGTGGCATTTTTTGTTTTCATTTTCATCTGAATAAAAAAAAGGAAAAAAAAACGAAGATTCGCCCAGCGAAATGCGCACAATAAAATTGCATTCTTCTCCATTTCCATTCATTTTCGGTGCGGTTTTCATTAGCTGATTTTTCATTTTTCTTGTATTTCCGCTATTCATTAAGTCCACAAACTCGGCGGGAATTTTGATGAACTGGCGAATGCTGGATTTCTCAACATCAGGGAATATCATTTGCAACAACTGGCATCGAATGCATCGCAAATAGGAGGTGAGATAGAGAGAATCGTGATGCGTACGTATAACTGGAGTAAATCACAAAATTGTGTATAGCACCGTACTGCCTGGTATGAATGGGAACTTAGGCGCGCGCGCACATTTTTCTCCATTAAAATATTTATTCGGTTTTTGGTTGATTTAAATATTTATGGTTGGTTTGGTGTCACAAGCGATGTGCTTTCACTTTTAACCGCATTTCTCTTCTGGCCCTGCTGTGTTGCAGTCATCGGACCCATGTTGAGCTACGAGTCTCAAATGGTGCTAATATTAGACACAGCGCATTGCGATACAATCAACTGACGAAAGTCACAAAAAACATTCTCAAATGTTACCGTTCGTCGCATGCACAAACGCATTTAATTCCAATATTACGAATAGTTGCTTTGATTTTGTATTTTACTCTCTTTTTCTTATGCTTCCCCCTCCCTTTTTTTCGGTTCCACTCGTTCATTCCTTCGTTCGTCTGTCTTTCGCGCAAATAGCATTGTGTTCATGGCCTGTGTTTTAATCGAATTTTAAACAGTCTTTTTTTCTCTATCATTCGCTTCAGCAATAGTTTGAGCAATTCCAAACAGAATGAAGTCATTAAAGACAGGCCAGAGATAATCTGATCCAAGCGCAGATCGCACCCGCATCTCAAAAGAAAAACTTCATTTAACATTGGGCCAATTAAAATGTGGATGTGTATGTTGTCGAAATGCTGATGTTGTTATTTCCAATTATTATTCAATGTGGGTTTCATAGAGTTCGAAACGAGTCGACAACACAAACACAAGCGAACACTAACGCCAAGCGCTCACGCGCTCATTTCATTCTCACTCCTGTTTCAAGCGCCATTGCTGTTTCCATACTGCGTTGCTGCATGGAAAATGGAGACGAGATTTTCGCAGCGAAAATGCCTTAATCGAGACATTTGAATCAGAAATGATGTAGTTTTTAGTCGGGTCGAATAGTTTAGCACGAAGCTAAAAGTATGATGTTTCGGAAGTCGAAAGTTAATTGGCTTATTCAATTTTCAATTTAATTATATTATAATTAAACGACATTCTTGGGCGCGTGCATGCTATGGGATTGAAACGTTGCGATGCTGCTGCAGCAGCAGCAGCAGCACGAAGCGATGAGTAATGAGCGAAAATGGTCTTTTTGTTATTTACATTTCAAAAGAAGATGGAGAAAGAGAAATAGAGAGAGAAGCAAAAGGAATGAACGAGGGAAAACTCGGTTCGTTTCGATTCGGTTCGGTAGCTTGGTATGTAGTGCAATGTGGAATGTGCTCCAAGGACATGCACATTGTACACCATAAATATTTTTCCAATCACAATATCAACGTTCGTAACAGCAAGTGTATGTCGGATAAGTGACTGTAAGGAGGATTGCAAAAACATCAATGCACTTTGTGCAGTGCTTTGCCATTGAATTGTCAGAGCAAAATCGTGCGCAAACACCCAAATCAAAATATCGTACATTAATTCAATAGCTTGTTCGGAAAGTGTAACGGACAATGACAACACCAGAACCATTATACATACAGACACGCACACATATGACGGCGCACATCCTCCGACAGCGAGCTTTTTCGCTGATGGCATTCGCACGATAACGATAACATTTGATAAAACATTAAACACATCTTACGTTCTCATCATCTAAAATTCACATTTCAATTTATCTAGATTGAAAGTGCGAATAAACACTGTCACATTACCAAGTGAGGATGCGAAATAGAGAGAGAGAGAGAGAGAGAGAGAGAGGGGGGGGGGGAGAGAGAAACAGAGAGGTTATGAGAGAACGGAGCAGAATGAAATAAAGAACGAGATAGTGAAAATGTGACTCTGAGAGCAACGCCTCAAAGTCGCTCAATTTCACGACCTCATTGCATTTTCTATTTACGACTAACTTTGGCGATGTAATAGAATTAAAGCTTAGGTTAAGCAGAAAAAAAAACAAAAAACAACACACTACGAAAAACAGAAGAAGAAGCAAACAAACAAACATGAATAAATTTCGTAATCCGTTTAGCTTTGGTAGTTGGCGTTTACATATTTTAAAACCAGAGTGTTCACGTCATGCATACACACACACACATAGATAAGACCTTCTGGGAAGGAGGATGTATTAAATGAATTTCTGGGAAAGCAACCGATAATTGAATTACGTTGTATTTGATGGGCCAAAAAGTAAATGGCGTATAATACCAAGCCATATAATAGTATGGTAGCCGTGTGTGTGTGTGTGTGTGTGTGTGTGTTCGATGTACCTGATCCTGCAAAAAGCTAGATATTTCCACAAGAGATTAAATGATGTGATAGTATAGTCTGGGGCGCATCCATGCTATGGATTGTGTGTATTTTACAATGAAATGCATTGCCAGTTTGAAAGTGCGCCACTTAAATTTGAATTTCAAAATGGATTAGTGTTTTGGCATTTATTTTGAGTAGTGTGTTTGATATACACCCCGAAGCGATAGCATGCATCTCAAAACACACAAGCGACCAACCATTTGCCGCACCTCAAAATATATATATTCAGCACCGAAAATTCCCATTCGAAATGACAAGTTTGCGATTCATTTGAATAAATGCAACGACTTACAGTAATAATAATGGTGATAATAATAACAACAATCATAATAATTCGTTTCAGGTGGCATGAGTCACGTTCACCAAATAGAAAATTGCAACCACTTGTCCAAATTGTTCAAGAGGATCACAATCTTTTACCTAGAAGCTTGTTATCGCTTCGGTGCTCCAATCGAAACGAGACGAATTGCAATATGTATTGCTCCTACGTCATGCTTAGTACCTGTTTCAATGCTATATTTTCATGGATTCGAATGAATTTTGTCTGGTAAAATTGTTGGTAACGAGTCTAATTTAAATTTAGACCATATTTATACCGTTCACGGATGACATATATATGGGGATAGGTAACTTGGCCGCCTATCTTTTAGCCGCCGACGGAAAATTACATTTGGCCGCTGGCGTCCAAAAGTGATTTTCAAAAGTATTACTCTTGGCCGCCGGCGGCAAAACGCATTTTCAGTGGTTTCCAAGCAGAATGTAGAAAAGTGATTTTTTCTAGACCTTGTGCTCTCTTGTACTAAACTGAACTATTCATACTAAAATGTGAAAAATTTCGCGCGCGCGCTCGTTTGGTCCTCTGGTACTTCTGACCGTTGCTGACCGTACCATTTTTTCACAGTTTGCAATAAAATAAAATGGTAGTACCAACAGAGGTGGAGAGGAGAGCGCAGAGGACCGCACTCGCGCGCGCGAGTGAGGTCCTCTGCGCTCTCCTCTCCACCTCTGTTAGTACTACCATTTTATTTCAATCAGCAATTAATTACAATGGACGAGAGTAACCGTGAGTCTAGGAAATAGCATTTTTCTGCATTCTGTAACTAATTCGTCATCGGCGGCCAAAACGCATTTTTAATGGCGGCCAAAGTAATTCCTGAAAATGACTCTTAGCCGCCGGCGGCCAAAAGCAATTTTCTTCGGCGGGACAAAAAATTCTCGAAAATCACACTTGGCCGGCGGCGGCCAAAAGTCAATTTTCCGGCGGCCAGAAGTAATTTCCATAAAGTTACATTTGGCCGCCGGCGGCCAAGAGTGATTTTCGTCGGCGGCTAAACCGTCGGCGGCCAACTTACACTGAGCCGACATATATATGTCAACATATTCATTTGATGTCAAAACTATTTCAATTTACAGTGTAAAAACGTTTTTCTGGGTGTGTGTGTGTGTGTGTGTGTGTGTGTGTGTGTGTGTGTGTGTGTGTGCATTTGTTTTGCTTTAATTAAACGAATGTCTCATCCAATGGAAAACTTTACAAATCAAACTAAATTCTGTTTTTCATCACGAAATTGTGTCGTGTGACAAAACTTGCACATTTACAAATAGAACAACTACAGAGGAGAAAAAATAAACAAATGTAAAATGGGCTTACCTTTGATGTACTGCTCATTTTTGGCGATGACTTTTTCGGCATTTTTACGAGCGAGAAAAAACCATTCGGATGTATTGCCCAAATATGGATATTCCGATGCAAGATCTTTCACAAGGGTGGCACTTTGATCGGGTGGCGGTAAACGATGTGCAAACGGGCAAAACAGTCCACGCTTCGCCATATGTTGATTCCAGTCAAAACAATGGCCCGCCGCATAGATGTCATCGTCAAATTCCACCATCGATAACACCGATGCATGTAAAATATGCTCCGACATCTGAACGGGTCGCGATGACAACTTGAATATTCTATGTTTTGCATTTTGCGTTTGTAATTGAAGAATGTAGCGAGAGAAAGAGAGAGAGAGAGAGAGAGAGAGAGAGAGAGAGAGAGAGAGAGAAAAATAGAAAGAAAAATGGGAGAAAATATGTTAGTACCCTTTTTTCCTTATAACGAATGCAAGTATATTTTTTTTCTGGTTGGTACCATCAAGCGATAGCATTTCTACTACTTGTAGTGGTGACGATGATGATCGTTTTTGTTCTCATTTCTCGTGTCCGCACACTTTTCAACGAAATATGACAAACTCACACAGAACTTTGCATGCTGCACATTTCTTGCTCTCCATTTTTTCAATTTCAAAGTTTTTCAATACGAACGAGCGTTCATTCGTTTTTTTTTTTGCATGATATTTTTTCTTCATTTCTGGTTTTTCTTTCAAACTTATTCAGTTCATTTTGAAATGACACAAACAACTTTGCATTTTTCTCATTAATACTTTTGTTTCCATAAACATTCATCACACAAACACGCACTCGAATAAGTTTTACAACACTAAAAACCCATTTTTCATTCTGTAGTAGTGGGTGTACTGCTCGTTTTTTTGTCTCACAAGCTTCGAGTAATGCAGAAAAAAAAGAGATAATAAAATTTTGTTCAAAAATCAACCAACATTTCAAGTTTTTTGCTTTTGCGTGAAATTTTTTGATTTCATATGGAAGAAACGAGTGGATCTGAATTTTTTTTCTCGGTTTGAAACGTGTATCCAGCTGTTGATAATGCCAAAAACCAAAGGATTTTCATCGATTTTTTATGCAAACGGATTTCCTTTTCAATCAATATTGGATACCAAGCGCAGGCTAATATAGTGCACATCGATCTTCTGCGACTGGGACAAAAAAGCGGTCACGATTACGTTGCAAATAAATTTTCGTTCAGTTTTCATTGAATGCATTTGGCCGGTGGGTATGAACGTGTTAAATTCGTCCACCGCGGAAAATCCCACATTTCCGTTTTATTCACATAGTGAACATTCGATTTTTGGGGCTCGAACACGTTCAAATGATGCTAAACATTGCAGTGTCGCACTTTGCAACATTTGATTTTTTTTTTCCGGCTATAGCAACAAAAAGTGGATATTGCACATTTGCAAGTGTTTGCATATTTTTTTCGTTTTACGCGTTTATCGAACAACTATTGAATCGTTTTTTCTTCGGCTGAACTGTTGTTTGGCACTTGAATCGATTGAATATGGAATTCAATAACATGAAAAAATGGCACCACACCGCAACAATGGGACCGTCATTGTGATACAATTGAAAGAGAATGCACGGCATGGAATCAAAGCACAAATGGAAAATAGAATAATCGGAATGAGCAAACACTGTCGTCGTGAGTGGTAAATCGTAGCAACAAACAGCGAAAAAAAATAATGGAGCTTTACATTCAAATGCCTGAGTTAGTTGAATGTCAAACGAATACATCGCATTCTTTGTTGTGCAAAAACCCTTTGATTCACGTTGTTGTACTGCACAACTGGTTTTATCGCTTGGTATTTAAATTTATAGACATTGTCCTTCGGGCTGAGTAATGGCCGAGCCATGGATCATTTTGAAAATGGTCACAAATCGACAACTTGTGGCATACGGCACAGAAATTGCACACAATGTTCGCCTTGTATAAATTGATTCACATGTAATTACTGTTTGTTTTTATCATTTTTGCAAAGGAAACACGACCGTTTGAAGGGTTTTTATTTTTAATCGATTTTATGTAATTTAAATGCCAGAAAAAACATACCAGGATGAAATATGGAAAGCTTTAATTTGGTATTCTATTTTATAAACGATTCGTATCCCGTGTAAAACATTTTTTGACTGACTAGCCGATTAATTTGGGACATTTTGACTGAGTAAAAGTGATTGTCTCGAACAAAATAAGCAACTTCAGTTAACTTTAATCACAAATCACTCTTAGTCAAAATGTCCCAAATTAGTCGATTGACTGAAAGAATAACTAAACGTGATTCGTCTCCATACAAAACGCATGATTTCAATCAACTTTTAGTTACATACAACTGAGTGACTGTTAGTCATTTTATTTGCACACGGGTATAATACGAAATGCGATCAAATGGTGTTTTTCATTGGTTCAAACAGTGGAATCTCATTAAAAAAAACCAACATATTATAAACGGGGCTGAAATGTGATTAGTTTCGGTAATTGGTGTGCAATTGCACCACATGTCATACACATATGCAATCATTTTTGACATTCTATTAAAAATAGCCTTCGAATGGCTGCTGGCCATACATACTTTGTACGAGTTCCTCAATTGTCTTCTCTTGTTCCTCCCCCATTCCCTTATTTTCCTGCACGTCATGCAATTTAAAACACAAAAAACACACTGAAAAAGAGCTCTATATAAGCTGTACCGAAAGAAATGAAGCTCTTGGCTTTGACATTGGCACGGCAAATAATTATATTGAAAACGTAAAATATTTACTAACGATCCGTTTGACAGTTGATCCGATAGTCCATTTATTTTAGCCTGAAACTAAAAATTTCTTACAATTTGACATGAATTATTCCATCAATCAAATAAATCAACGCGCAATTTCCAAAGGCAAAGAAAACACCACACCGACAATGAAACAATGACTTCTATCTATTTTCAGCGGTTGTTATTGTTTTTATGTTGATTGTGCGATAGTGGAAATTGTGGCAAACGATTCGCGCCCATATGAAAAAAGAATAACAAATGGCTGACGCAAGTAAAATTAAAATCGACATTGAAAATTATTGCGGAATTTTTTTTCTTCTGAGAAATCAGCATCCACATTAGCACTTACAATGGATGATACGGTAGAAAAAAAGTTCCATTGTCACGCACACACACGCACACAATCATCAGTGCAATCGCTGCAATATGATATGCATAAAATATGTGTATACGCGTGAATGAGTACGTTCTTTTTTTGATCTGAATGAAAGCAAAGCAAAATGAAAAAAAAATTGTCATCTTGCTTTCGAAACGAGTTAGTCGATGCTTTTATACCGTTGAATTATTTATAAATTTTGATCACTTGAAAAGATTGTGTGGCTATTTGAAATCGTCTCTTCGATCGCTGTGGAAATCGTGTGGAGACAGTGAAGAGAATGACAGAGAAAAAAAGCACAATTCATTTTAATAATCATGATGACATTCCTAATGTCATTGCATTGGCCATGGCATCTAAAGGATCGAAAGCATTTCAAACATCGCAATTTTGTGTTATGTCATGTATTATTCTGGCCACTTCCGCCATTTTTTTTTGCTCTTGGATATAAAAATGCGCTACGCATTTGTGAGCTACTGAGTGATTACACACAAAAAAAAAATTCACCATTTTGTTCATTTCTTTTCTCTCTTGCAACGCACACACAAAAATTGGTCTTGTCAACCATGGAATTGTAATATGGGATGGATTTTAGACTTGAAATTGAAACCTATTTTAAATGCGGGAGAAATGATAGATGCATATACATATAGATTCTAGCCACGCTCAAATCATACCAATTTCTCTTTCTTGATCACATATACCCGCTGATTCAAATGTTTGAAAGCAGAAAGACGTTTGCATTTATGGCAAAATATTAGCATGATTTATATGAAACAAACCATCGAAAGCAATTCAAGCAAGAAATACTAATAATAGTGGGAATAGTCGCATTTGAGAAGGGAGGGAACGAAAGAGAAAAGCACAAACTCGTGCACACACACACACCTATGAACATGTTTCAAAATCTTATACATCAAAGTGCCAGTGTCTAATTCGATTTGCGTCCATAGTTCTTGGCCATTAAACACTTGAATTTCGCGAAGGAGCAAAAAGGAAACACGGAAGCGGTGACAACAACAAAAACTTTCATCATAAATATCACAACGAAACCAATAATTTGGCAATAATTTATTACGAAAACACACACACACACACACACACACACATTAGGTACACATTTAGGCCATTTGGGTTCGATACAAAAACGACGAATCCATTACAAACGGCAAGCGATTTGCTGGCTAATGCAAGCCAATTCGAATGGAAAGACTCCATTCGCAAGCATTTGTTCATTGAGCAAAATCAATTCAATTTATTGAAAAATGAAAAATGTTGTATGCATCATTTACACCATTATTGTATATAAATATACTTATATTTGACATATTTTGACATAAGACTTGGCATATTTTTAGCCCAAGGCCCGTTCAATGCCAACAACTTTGGTATGCAAAATGGAGAACGTTGTAAGCAAATAAGCATTGAAGCAAAAATATTTTTTTTTTTTTTTGCAAATTCAGCTTTGTTGCTAGAATTAGATTGCCTATATAGATTTTTCATCAGTTTAAATCATTTTCATGATTAACTGCTTTGGAAATAAATGTTTTCAGACAACATTTATTGGAACCTAACGACTTATTTCCATTTAGTATACTGAATGAAGCTTGTCGCTTGTTTTTCATCCAATCCCGATTTTTTTGTCGTTTTTATTCACGTTTGGCTCTTTACTATTTCGATCTGTACATTAATAAACTACTATTCGATTGTGTAAGTGTGTGTGTGTGTGTGAGTATGTGTGGGATTATGAATATGATTCGGTATGTGTGTGAAAGAGTTTTTGCACAGATTGACCGAATTCCATCAATCGCATTTATTTGGTGCGAGGGTAAACCAGGCGTGCTTCTCAGTAATGCTATTTTCCCTTTTCCGATCCTAATTCGTTCGCAGGCCATACGCTTTTTCTTCTGTTCCGTCTTACTTCAACGCCGTCCGCTCTTTACAGTTAGTGTATCGAGCGGAACAAATAAACCTGAAGGAAGCAGAAAAAAAAACAACAAACAAAGAAATACCAAACAAAAACTAACAATGCGTAGAAACATTTTTTTGTTCGACTATGATGGGGAATTGTGTGTATGCATGGACCATTTGGTAGATGTGCGTGTGCGTGTGCCATTGTACAAAATATTGAGAGAGAAATGGCAAGAAAAGATGTGGTTTGAGAGGAAGAAAGGAAAGAAAAAATGAAATGCGTCAAATAAAATGTTTGTGTGTATACATTTTTGATTTGACTTTCCGCCATAAATATGCTATGGCTTGCCTCACCGAACACCCATTGAATCCGTCGAAGGAAGCGGCAATTTTCGATTGCGATTCGCAAACAATTGAATTATAAATGCTTCTAGCTATTAGATCGTTACGCTTTCGAGAGCTTTTAGACCTCGTCACCTGAACTGCAATCCAAATTAAACATTTAAACTCTTTCAAGCGAACCGACGAATTGTATGCTCCATATCCATACGTATATGCATGGCAAGAAATTTTTCTAATATTCGACTGTCGCTATGACGGTGACGACAACGATGGCAGATTCTGTTCAGTTCAACGACTGCATTGCTCTTATCGTTGAGATTGTGCCGACTGAAATATTAATAACTTAGTCGATCGGGGGTGGCTCGATGACTCGACCGGTCTATTGTATGCAATTCAAATTGAATTGCAGACACAAAAAGAACCGAATGTATTTGTACCAATCAAAAGGTATAACAAACGATTTTTCGATAGAAAGTTCAGAATAGAAAAAAAAGTTCTTCGAAAACGTATGACCTCTGAATAGACGTGGATCACTTCTGTGAATAGCTATTTTTGTTTCTCGATTTTCCACTTATTTATTTATGCTAATATGATTTTGTGTTTGTTTTCTCTCTCGCCGATCAAACAGATAACAGCTAGAACATGCAATGGCATCGCCGAGAGCGTGTACAGGTGGATGACTCGAGGGAAATATCATTGGCATTTATCAGCATTGGACGTGGCCAATCAAAAACAAGAACTGAACAAAAAAAGCAAACTTTTTTCGCGGCATGTTTTTTAGCACTACATGAAATGGATACTTTTTGAGTGTTGAAACAAATTATGGTGAATTTGAATTTTATGCTCATATTTTTTATTTAATTTAAACCAAAGGCAGTATATTTCAAAAAAGAAATAAAACCAAGATCTTGTAATTCATTTTGCAAATAAATATATTACTTCAAAGTTACTTTGATGAAATACATTTCATGTAGTGCGCCAAAAAATAGTTTGTTGTGAAACAATAAAATAGATTAAGTAACTAAAAACTCAAGAACGCAGAGCGGAGCGAAGCGAAGCTCTGCGGTCTTGTTTCACACTGCTCGGCTACTCGCTTCGGATGTAGGAGTTTCATTTTTTGTTTCCTCTGACGTAGACGATAAGCCGTCACTTCAACGAGCAATCCCATTCAATGAACTAGAAATTCTTTCAGCCGGAAGAGCAACGTGTATTGAATGGAATTACGAAAATGAATTGACATTCATAACCCGTTCATCAAAAACTATTACATTCTGGTGTGTTCGCTGCTGTCGCTCTTCTCTCGCCTTCATTTTATCAGTCGTCGCAGTTCGATAGGCACTCTGGGCCCATGTCATGTATATATATTACGTTTCAGACGTGTACGCGGAATAAATGCGTTTAAATGAAAAGCGAAAAGCGCTCATTTGTCTTTTCTCTCACTCTTCGCCAGTGTAATGCGTTGTGTGCAACGGAATTGAATGGCCGGAATCGAATAGTTTTACCATTTGCTGAGCCATTTTGAGCCTAATGCCCTTTCTCTCTTTCACTTTTATGATGATTTACTATTCTGCATGGGCTGTGTGCTATGCCCATCGCTTTCGGTAGCAGTTCAGAGCAAAAGGATCAGCGCGCATACACGGTTTGATTGCTTTTTATCCATATATTTTCAATGTATCATTAATAATAAATATGATTCGCTTTTTTTGCCACTGCTTTCGGCAATGCAGAGTCATTCATAGTCGTCGTCATCGTCATCGTCATCGTTCTTGCTGTGCGTTTTCCTCTTGCTATATTGGTGTTTCAACTAAAAGTGAATGTGAACCATTTTTTTCTCTCTGTGTGAATATATTTCAAGAGAGCATCTCTTTCTTTGCGCTTCTTTTTCACCAACAAAGCCACCCCACGCAGAAATTGCGAGATAAAAAAACACACCAGCAACAGCAGCAACTCTGATCGCTAGCCCTTTCTCACATTTGACATTCTCGAAAGGTACGAAAAAAAATACACTGTTCCGTTCGCAGCATATACAGCATTTAATTTGTTTGAATACACGCATGAAAGATGATGGCAATGATCATTTTTCTTTTCATCCACACCATTTGCGTAATGCGTAGAAAAAAACCATTTCAATCTTTGGTCGCTACTTCTTTTTTTTTTGCGCACATTCAATCGATACCATTTTCATCATTTTAACCAACGCACATTTTAACAAGTAACGATAATAATCTCGAAATTTGAGCATTTTTGCCATTCGCAATGAATTTGCGAAGAAATAGAGTCGACACTTTAAATGAGAACCAAACCGATCTTCATTGGACGACCTTGAAGTATTTATTTTTGATGATTCCCACATTTTTGTTTCTTACTCAATTTATTTATCTCCATATTATGATTTAATATATTATATTGATGTTGTTTATTTTCTCAAAAAAATAAAATAAATTTTACGTTTAATACAGAAAAGATCTCGACAAAACCAAGAAAAATGCACAATTTTTGTATGAAGCTCTCTTCTGAGGAAATGAATTTTGAATCGAAAGACTGTTCTACCAACCTTGTCAACATATTCGCTCGATTTACAGCCACTTCGGCTTCGACACGAAAACGATCCTGTGCGTAGCGATCGACAACACCTTCGCCCAAATTCAGTGCCGTGCCTGCCGTACAGTTGGCGCCCAATAGATGCTGTGACTCAACGATTTGTAGAAATTTTGTCACCACATCGCGACCCTTCTGCAAATTCAATCGATTGTTTCGACTTATTTCATCCAAATCATCGAGATCCATGTCTTCCATGCGAAAAATTGGCAATTGAATGACATCATTCGAATTAATCGTTTTACCATCAAATGTTATGGTTTGCTCGTAGTTTGCATCGAATGGAAATGAATTTGTGTCATCGCCATTGTCGTCGTTCGCTTGCTGTTCGTCATTTAATTCATCGAACGGTGATAAGAAACCATTTGAATCGAATTGATGGTTATTTAAATTTGTATTGGTTTTGACATTTGACGGTGTCGACTCATTTTGTTTGGACGATGATGGTGAATCCGGGTCAAATGGATGCGATGATACCAACGACACCACCGACGACACTGGTGGCATTTTATCACCATTTTTTGTTTGTGCAGCTGGTTTGGCGGCGATTGTTGATTCTTGTCGCCGTTCATTTGCTGATTGTGAACGCGACGATGTCATTTTCGTATTGCTTTGTGAACGTAAATTGGCTTTGGTGGCATTTGAATTTCCATTTAAATTGGTTTTTGCACCAATACCACCAACACCACCACCACCACCGTTGTTGATCGCTTGGTCGAAAGATTTTTTGGAAACGGCCGCATGGATGCTCGTCACTATTGAATCGATTGTTTTCATAGTCATGATATTTTTGTTTCGGCTGACACTTCCCGTTGTAGATGCGGATGATGGTTCGTGTGCGTATCTTGGATTCGATTTGTTTGATTTGTACGGATGATTTTCGCTGTGATGGACATTTTCACCGTTGTACGACGGTGGCAATGGTGGTTCATCGTTTTGCATCTCATAGTCAAAGTGATTTGCTTTGCCATGGTCAGTGCCATCAACACGATTGTTATCCATCATATCGTCATCACTGTTGATTTGATGGATTTTCCACTGCAGCTGTTTATCGATTTTGTGTTTTTTCTGGTTTGATTGATTGTGTTCGGTACGAGGATGATTGAATAAGCCCAACGATGATGATGATGATGATTTAAAGTGTTTTGATATGGAAAATGGATCCGATACTGAATATGAGATCGTTTCATCTTGAGACGCCAATGATTCATCCCGTTCGATGGGCATACGAGATTGGTCGGTGTTGTGCGCCAATTGTTCAGATTGCTTTTGTAGTTGTAACAACGCCTTTTCACTGGGCATTACAGCTGTCGGTTGTGTTAGATGTGCATGAGTTCGCAAATATTCAATACCTTCTTCAACATTTTTCCGGATATTTTCCATAATTTGCTTTTTTGCTAGCTTTGGACTTTTCGCTGGTGTACTTAATGTTGATGTTGATGCCGACGACCATCGTTGGCTGCTGGCTGACACCGATGGTGCCAACGTACTGATCAGTTTCGATTCACTGTTGCCATTCGCATTGGCATATGTGCCGTTATTGAAAAGCGTATCAGACGCAAAATAACCGAACGATTCAGTGCCTGAAAACGTTTGATTTCCACCATTCAAACCAAAATCGAAGAGCGTTTCATTGCTGCCATTCGTACCATTGGCACTCTCATAGTCATAGTCGTACAGCGTTAGGTTATCGAACGCCTGTAAACCCCATCGGATGTGGTTCTTTTCGCTGGAGTGACGAACACGCGAACGACCATGTCGAATGATTAACATATCGGATGACGCGGCTGACACCCTTGATAAACATATTTGCGATGCTTCAATTAAACACATTAAACCGAAAATGAATTGCAAACCATTTGGATGTACACGGAAAATCTGCATCATTGTTTCAGTAGAACGTAAAATCGTCGTCGTGTATTTGATGTTCGTGCGCGCACATTCACACGATTCTGTCTCACTCTCTCACGTATTGCACTGCGCGTCTCTTTCTCTGCCTCTGCACTCTCCTTGTTTTGACGACCAACGAATCGGGGAAATGTGTCAGAGAGTGTGTGAAAGAAAAAGAGAGTTTTTAACTTCTCTTCTCGATTCGGGCTTCAAAACTGAGAAAATCACTAGAAATTTTTATTTTTATTTGGATGGTTTCTTCTACTTCGATATATTTCGTTGGTTGGTTACAACACCAAAAATGGTTCCTCCAGCAAATTGTTCGGCGAGTAGCTTGATGCTATTCTTTAAGCGATACTTGGAAATACCGTTCACTTGACGCATTTTCAACAGTGTTGCATTGTCAAAGTTTCACGCTGAACTGAGCACTCCTCTTGCCAATCGTTTTTCGTTCGTTCAGACCGGATCGATCGTTTGAGTGTTTTCAACTGCAAATAGAAAGAGAAAGAGAGAGAAAGAGAGAGAAAATATTAAATTATAATTCATTTAGCTGTGTGATTAGAATGAATGCAAATGGTTGCATAAATTAATTGCGAACGTGAGTTAATTGAATTGAATCGATTTGAAGATTAAAAACGAGCACAGCGCACACAATAATGATTATGGAATTGTTGGACGGTCACTTGGTTGGTCTGCTTTTGTTTAACTTTATCACCGTTTATTCGTCGTATTCAAAATGCTATGCTGCATTTCAGTCACATATTGACCACTTTCAGTCAGACTTTACAGCCAAGCAGTACACGGCAAAAATTCGGTTATAATTTGTTAAATTGTAAACTTCAGTATATAAAACACAAACACATACACACACACACACACATCGTACATAATGCATTCATTTAGTAAAACTATATGTACAGTATACACATATTTCGAAGCCATACTTTTTATTCTTCCCCTTCACTAACACAGTTTGAGTTGAATATGTTGAACTTTTGACACCTATTCCAATGTGCACAACGTTGATTTCAGCAAAATCATTACATTAGAAACTTTGTACACAAACTCAATATGAATAGAATGTATCTGCTTGCAATCAGGATTGTTCACTTAATTAATGAATGCATCTACGCTTCAAGCGTGAATGGAGTTTCCACAAGTGTATAGCGACTATTGTGATTGTTCACCGACTCCGTTGTGTGTGTGTGTGTGTGTGTTATTTGTTTTGTCTTTCATATTTCATCGTTACATTTTAAGGTCAAATGAATACATGCGTCCAAATGGATTGTATGTTGCAATTTGAAGGTGTGCATGAATTCAGTATAGCATGTATGTTCACTAGAATCAACGATGAACTTTGAAGCACCCATCTTTTTTTCTCGCTCCATAGTTATTTATGATTTGCAATGCATTAACAGAGCAAAAAAGGAAAGGAACAGAAGATTCCATTGAGACTAGACAAAGTGAATATGGAGAACAGCATGAACTGCTGTCACACATCGAAAAATGTGACTATTGCATTTTTTTTCAAAAATTTGATTGAAATTAAAGTCCTAATCACACATGTACCTCATACGGTTGTTACAGTATTTTATTTGCGTATGATCGAAGTCCCCCTAGATGCTCAACTCGTTACGCTAATAAAATTTGCATGGTTTGCATTTGTAAATGCTTCATGATATGCATATGATAAATGGTGGTTCGTTCAGTTTTCCATCTAGTTAGACAAACCCAAAGTTTTTTTTCTCGTTCATTTTTCGCTTCCGTTTGTTCACATCGCCACATTGCACACTCTGTATATTGAATGAGATATCTTTTCTGTTCAAAATAAAATGCACTAGAGATGTTTCTCTCAGTTCGGCGAGACTTTTAGCTGCCATTATTTCCACCACAACTAATTTTCCCTCGACATAGTTGGCCAAAAATTTTCAACTCTGGTATTTGTTGTGAGCGTTCTCTTTTTCTCTTTCTCTCTCAAACTCCCACGGTCTTTTTTCTCCATCGTTTTTCCGAAGCATACCATTTTTTTCTGATTTTCCATTTTGTTGTTGTTGCTGTTGAGATTGGTAAACCTTTTGCCATAAGCTGATTCGCATACGCAATACGCTCGCCTAGACATAAGAACGCTTCTATTCATTCACGAATTACTAATACATTTTTTATGGGCAAATTAATGCGGCAAAAAGCACAAAAAAAATGTGGCGTTGAAAAGACGAGCGTACACACACACACAAGTGAATAAAAAAAAATGGATGGAAAAAACGCACTACAATAAGCGACGCGCTTGAGTAGCAACCGAATTCCAAATGTACGCCCGAGAGAAATAGAGAGCTGAATGAGCATTTTGTTGTTTATCCGTCGCTTCCAATTCAAACTGAATTCATCCGCGTGTGTTTTTTCTTCTTCTCTCGATGCCTTTCATTTTTTTGGTTACTTTCTCTGCATTTCATTCAAACGAATCACAGTGTATATTCGCGTTGGTTTGCGATTAAAGTATACAGCGAAAGCAAAAGTTGGATAAGTTTGGTTGGGAGAGTTTGAGAAACGAGAGACAGCGGAAGAAAAAGCGACCGATCGCAAGAGAGAGAGAGAGAGAGAGAGTGAGAGAGCGAGAGAGAGAGAGTGAGTGAGTGAAAAAAGTTGAAGCAGCGGAAAATTAAGTTTGTTTTCGATTGGTTTTTGATTTACGTATCGCGCGTTTGTAATTCCAACATAAAACGGCAGAAACGAACGCATACACAAAATGTGTAGTCGCGTTGCTAGCTCAAAAACAAAACAAATCTCCGTGTTTTTTTTTTACCACACTGGAAGAAGCGAGAGACGAACATACGGTTGTTGCACTGTTCACAGTTAAAGATAAAGACATCATTTGGAATTTCCTAAGTTTGATTGCTTTATATTCGCACTTGACATTGGTGGTGTTTTCTCTTTTGTTCGGTCTTTTTCGCTCGACTTCGCATCGTTTGCTCGCACAATGATTGAGTGCAATTTTAATCAATGCAATTTGCTTTCCGCTGTCAAATGTCAGTCTTGTTTGAGTTCGTTGCTTTGTATTGTTCTACTTCTTCATCTTCTTCGATTTAATGTATTCGTTCTCTCTGTTGCCAGGACAAGGTCGAAGCCATTATCGATAGGTTTGTTTGACTGGCAATATCACCCGGGCACTTTCGTTTCAAGGGAATTTTGTTTGCAGTAGACACATATTCGCGTCAACGATTCAATTCGATTTTGGATTGAGGTTATCAAGCAGAGAAATTTAAACCGACAAAAAGAAAAACATAAGAACCAAATTCCATATCAAACCGCACCAGATCGAAGCAGCAACATAACAATTTCGAAGGGAAATATACCGCCCACACTCGAAAACAAACTTTATCAGAAAGTATACACACAATTTTATCTCGTTTCTTCTCGATGGAAAAGCATTTATCAAGTTCGCAGTGGTGTGTGTGTATGTGTGTTCTCTCCGCTTATTCATGTGTAATCAACTATGAACAATATTTTTCGGGGATTTCGATGGCTCACATTCACGCCGCTGCACACCAACAAATCTTTTCAAAGAAATAGGTATTACGATAATTGTGTTACGAACTATTTTTATATATGCAGATGTTGGCTCATTTGTTAGCTCAACACACACACACAGTCAAACCATCAACTAACAAATAAATCTTGTGCATATCGCGCACCATGTGAGAAAATTTCGTCTTCCATTCAAACCACCATACTATGTTGCTTTTCTGCAGAAAAAAACGAGAACAGTAAATGTATGAGTGGGATTTGCATTTAATTCAGTTCGGCTGTGCTGAGAGTAATACCAACTGATTCTTCAACATCCGCTTTTCTCTCTCTCAGCCTATTGTAAATCCTGTTTTTTTTTTAATTAGTTACGAAAAATTAAAGTTATGCATTCAAAAAGGTGTTGAAAATGCTTTTAAATTTTCCCTGCACAAAAGTTCACACCAAACAAATTTCATTAAAAAAAAGTCGGGCGGGAATGAAAACCACACAGTTAACTTTGAGTTTAAAAAAGAAGACAAGTTTTTTCGAAAAGTTGATTCCGTGTTTGAAAACAGATTGTCATTCACATTCAGCTGCTGTACATTATATAACTGCTGTACATAATTTTAAGCGGGTATCGTTGTAATTATTGTAGCAAACAAAACCGAACCAATGTTGTGAAATGATTGAGTTAGACTGATAAAAGTTCAAAGGTAACAGCCCCTCCCGTTTCATCCATGCACCGCACGCACACATAAAATAGTGTTAAAATCCCTTGGTCATTGACATTTGAATAGATGTTCAGTTCAATGGTCACAAATTAAATGGCTAGGGGAATATCACGCTTAAATTATTTCAAATATTTCAAAAGAATCCAATTTATCTCTAAGAATCTGTCGTATGAAATATGGTGGATATTTGTGAATACGGCGGAATATTGTGGATTTTTGTGATTATGAATGATATTTAAATGTATTTATTTGGATTTAACGCAAGAAATCTCAAATATCTCCAAAATCCACAAAAATCTGATTTATTTATTCGAAATATTCGAAAATATGTCATACAATTGATGTTTATTTCAAATATCTCAAATATCTCACAAGATTCAGGAGCATGATATTCCCCTAGTTAAATGGTATTCCATAAATAGATTCTCGATCGCTGTTTTATTTCCTTCATCTGCAATTTAAATGATATTTGCGTGAATGAAAATTCATCTTGGTTGACTACAAGCCATTAATTGAAGCCATTCGCTTGTATATTAATATTATTATTGAAACACTGTTTCAGCCGAAGAACATTTTCTATTCGGAAAACAACTTATGAATAGATAATACATTTTATGGCAATTCACTCAGCAAATGAACGTCAAACGCTGATAATTTACACGCACAAAACACATAGCATGCGTAAATGTGGGAATAAAAGAAAGATAGAGAGATAGAGGAGGGACCGTGGAATGGAAAAGGAGAGCAATAGAGATGGATGAATACGCAAATTGAAGAACGAAGACAACGATGGAAAAAGAGAGAGAGAGAGAGAGAAATGTTTCCGTCAATGTAATAATCGACACCGATTATGTTTGGCATGCATAACAACGTAAAAACCATTAAACGGCACATAATAGACCATGATCACTTGACGAAATGAAAATGAATTCATCATCAGTTGGAAATTTGGGGGCTGAGAAGCAATAGCAAATAAAAAGTAACTGTTTCCAATAGAAGTGTGGACCGGATGCTCAACATAACGACAACGAGGACGAAGACGACGACGACGACGACGACGACGACGAAACGCGGTAGTATAGTTGATGAATAAGAATGAGGGTGCAAGCCTCCTGACACATATACCGTTCTGAGAGATGGAAAGAGACGAGAGAGAGAGAGAGAGAGAGAAAGACGCAAATGAACACGAAATACTGCTTTCGTCAAGTTAATATTCTAAATACTAAAAATATGATTCATTGTGGCACGTTTATTGC